GCCGTGAGCTTTGCACGTGGCCGCCTGCTCCCGCCTTCCCCTTCTGTGAAGCCAGCGCGTTCCGGGAAAAGCGGACTCTGCGCGGGACAGTCTCGTGCAGGACGGGAAGCCCCGGAGCGGCTGCGGGGCTCAGTGCCCAGGACAGCTGCCGAGGCTGCCCTCACTCGAGCGCTGTGACACCTGCTACGCTGTGCGGGGCGGGAGCTGGCCTGTCAGTCTCCGGCCAGGTTCGCTGGAGAAGCGCCCCCGACGCGGCCAGCGTCCCGCCGAGCGAGCGCCGTCTCTGGAGAGCGGGCCAGGACGTGTGCGCGTGTCGGGGCGTGTGCGCGCGTCGGTTGGGCCTGTGCGTGTCGGGGTGTGTGCGCGTCGGGTGTGTGTGCACGTTGGGGCGTGTGCACATAAGGGTGTTTGCACGTCGGAGCCTGTGGACGTCGGGGTGTTTGCATGTCAGGGCGTGTACGCACGTCAGGGTGTTTGCACGTCGGGGTGTGTGCTTCTTCCCTGCATTGGAAGGGCAAGACTGGCACAGATGTGGTGAAGAGTTTGGTGGAAAACTGAGTACCTGTTCACGATCAGGCGGAGAGGTGCTCTCTGTGTGTCCCGGGTGGCCAGACGTTCACAGGCTCTGCAGCTGGTCTCCTTTAAGAACCGAGGCTTTGCCTGGCCTGCTGCTTTCAGGAGCCCTGGGGAAATGGCCAGTTTAAGGTAGATTTAGATTTGTTCTCTGGGCCTAGTGCTTTGCTAGATGCAGACGTGTGATGAGTCCTCTCAGGGACCTCAGGAAGCAGCACTGTCACCACCTATCACAGAAAGGACACTAAGGCACAGGGTCAGCGCTTCCCACGGTCACACCATGAAGGGCTGAGCCAAGACCCATCTGAGGCACGTCTCCTGGGCCCTGCTCTTGTCCTGGGGGGCACTAGAATGCCATCTGTCCTTCCCCATGGCTGTCCTGGGCTTCGCCATCCCTGCCAGGGGCCTCCACTCTGCAGTCTTAGCCCTCACAGGCCCCAGGTTGACCTCATCGCCATCCTTCAAACCGTCCTGATGGGACCCAAGAGCTGTGCATCGATGACAGCTTACAGATCCTCACCCAAATGGTCACTTCTGACTTCACTGCCTCTGCTCATGCCCTCCTGTCTCCCCCACCCCAAAAGCCTTCCTGCCTCCACTCTGCTGTGTCCATCTTCCATTATCTGGTTGAAAACTCACCTCCCCAGAGACCTTTGCCATTCACCAGGGCTCACTCTTTTGTTCTTTGCTCTTTCATGTAATCCATTCCGTGCATGCCTGGTCGTTCTGCTGTGTGTGTGTATGTGCAATTGTGTTGTGTGTGTGTGTGCATGTGCACTTGTGTTGTGTGTGTGTGTGCGTGCGTGCTTGTGTTGTGTGCTGTATTTGTTGGGAGTGCTCATGGAGCTAGTCCCTTGTACATGGTTGGCGCTTTGGGCTTTGTAACCACTTTCAGAGTATTTCACATTTCCCAACAGCCCAGGGATGTAAACACACTGTTGTGTACACGCTACAGCTGATGAAACAGGTTTGGAGAGTTCCAGTGAGTGCCTGAGGCTGCACGGCTGGCTCGGCTATGCCGACGAGCGGAGGGATGCTCTCGCTGTTGTGAACAAGGCAAGGGCCAGGCCTCTGTCCCTGGGACCTCCAGGAAGCACTGCTGCTCCACACACAGCATGTCCTTCACAGCTGCTCACTGCCCTACCTGGATGTCAACATCGACAGAAACAGGAGGCACCAAAATACCACTGATGACAGATAGCTTTAGCACTTTGCTTCCTGGAATAAAACAAGATCTTAAAGAGTGCCAGGGGAGTGGCAGACGTGCTTAACAAAGTGCTCTGGGCCCGCTGGCCTGCCGGGTCTGCCTTCTGTGAACCAGGGGGCCTTGTCACCCCTGCTCTGGGCCCTGCTCCTGTCGGGGGAGGAAGCCCCTCTTCTCTGGCAACCAGAGCCCCTTCTGCAGCCTGCTCAGCCCAGTCCCTGCTGGGTGGGCTTGAATTGGGGTTCCCTGAGGGGCGGCCTGGGCCACCTGCCCCTGTCCTGTGCACCTGTCACCATAGAGGGGAGTCGGAACAGCTCTCGGGGACCCATGGACGACGGCAGCTGGGAGCTGCTTCCTGTCCGTGCTTCAGCTCTCCATGCCTCAGTGTCCTCATCTCTTGAGTGGGCGTGATCATAAGTCCTGCTTCCTGTGGCTGTCGGGAGGATTAGATGAGCTGGCACCTGAGGCGTGCTTAGCCCCCTGCCTGGCCCACATTCAGAGCCATCTCAGTGCCAGCTCTTACTATTTGTGCTGTTGACTGAGCCTTTTGGCATAGCTCGGGGGTGGAGGGAGGCAGTGTTACCCACTTGGACCACAGAGAGAAGTGGGTCCTATCCCAGAGAAGTTATCACTTTGGGAACGTGACACATCAACAGAGGACTAGGCCAGGACTTTCACCTGGGACTTTCTGAGGCCAGCGCTCCAGCCCCACCCTGCATCCCTGTGCTGGTGGCTCCAGGAGGGTCAGAGACGGAGATAGAGAGCCCTGCCCCACCTGGCCCACTCGCCACTCGCCTCCACACTCACCAGTGGATGACACACTTCGTGTTTACTCTCAGACATGAGGAGGAGGAGCAGTCGCCTCCCTGCCCAAGCAGGACTCGGCGGTGACCTGGATTAGTGTTTCAGCAGGGTGGCGAGAGCTGTAGCCACGGGTCAGAGAATGGGCGCTGGGGCCGGCAGGGTGAATGGGCAACAGCGACAGGGGCTCTGGAGGAGTTTTGGGAGGTGTTTGGGGTGGAAGAGGTCATGGGGCAGCCAGCCCCTCCAGCGTACCCACAGACGGCCGTGGCTGACCTCGGGCCGTTGCTTGACCTCCCCGCCCCCCTGTCCTCTGGAGAGCAGGACGATGAACCCCGCTCCAGGACCTGCCCGCCCCAAGCCGGTGCTCCGCTAGTGTCTGCTACTGTAGGTAGAATGTCGCTGTCCCCTCACGGCCCGGCTCACAGAGGTGATCAGCGTCTGTGGAGTGAGGGACGACACAAGAGGACAGAGCCCCAGGAATGGAGGCCGAGGGAAGAGAACCCAGCATGCAGGGTCAGGGTTGGCTGGGGGCGCGGTGGACAGAGGTGAGGCTGGAGCAGATGGCTGAGGGTGGGACACGTGGGGAGGGCACTCAGGGCTTCTGGGCACATCTGTCTTCTTCAGGCAGGGTGGGGGTGCAGCCGGGAGTTTTGGTAAAGATGGCGATTTGGAATAGCAGGGGTGAGAAACAGGCCACGGGGCTGATGAGGGACAGACGTGGGGAGACCTCGGAGGCTTGCAGTGGAGCTGCCCACACAGCGGCTGGTGGGAGTGGGACAAGCTGATGCTGGACTGGTCTAGACTGGGGGCTTGTTGGGGAGATGTGGTCAAAGACGAGGGAAGGGCCGGCCCGGTGGCACACTGCTACAGTGCGCCGCTTGGGAGCGTGGCTGCGCTCCCGCCGAGGGTTCGGATCCCACATACAGACCGGTTCCCGCTCGCTGGCTGAGCGAGGTGTGGGAGCAACACCGAGGGTTGCGATCCCGTTGCCGGTCCCCGGTCCGGGCGGGACACTGAGGGTTGCGATCCGTTGCCGGTCACGAAAAAAGACAAAAAGGAAAAAAAAAAA